TGGACTTAACGTAGGATTCAAATTCAAGAGCTCTGGCCATTGCATCTTGCATAGTAGAGGGGTGTGCTTGCTTCACTTGTATCTTCAGTTGTGGACTGTCCAAGGAGTCCACAAACTGATCCCTCAGCAACAGCTTGAGGACATCGGGTGGCAGTTGGGTAGGCCTTGTGTGCCATACTTTCCAAGTCCTGTGCCAGCTCTTGCAGGCTCTCCCCTTTAGCACGGACTCTCGTCCTAAACCTAGCCCTGTAGACTTCAGACTGATTTTGGGTTCCATACCTGAGTTCTAGAGCAGCTACCAGTGCTGTATAGTTGTGACTGTCATCTGCTGACAACTGTCCAAGTATTTTCAGTGGTTGTCCCTTCAAGCTCGTTGTCAAATGTACTGCTTTCTGCTCCTCTGTCCATCCATTCATCTCTGCCAGGAGCTCAAATTGTGCTCTATATGCTTCTCAGGGTGCCTTCCCATCGAATTCCTGTGGCTTCCTTCGTACTTGATCACCCCTATTGCTGACACTCGTGTCTGGAATGTGACTACTAGCAGGACTGAAGATGTCTGCATTAAGGTTTAGCTGCGGGGTCTGGAAGGAGCTTCCCGTTGTCTGAGGCTGATTAGGTCGATGGCTAATATATCCTCCTTGTGTAAAAGACAGTAAATCATTCTTTAATGTATTTAATTCCCTTTGAAATTTACTAATGTTTTCCATTTGTGTACTCTGGCTTTCTCTCAACTGTTGGAGACTTTCTTCTTGTTTATTTTCCTTTCTCATCCAACCACTGCTGTAGTCTCTCTTCTTGTTAATTTTCTTTCTCCTCAACCACTGCTGTAGTCTCTCTTCTTGTTTATTTTCTCGTTCTTCTTGTGTCTTTTCTTTTTTCTCCAACAACTGCTGTAATCTCTCTTCTTGTTTATTTTCTCGTTCTTATTGTTTCTTTTCTTTTTCTTCCAACAGCTGCTGTAATCTCTCTTCTTGTTTCTTTTCTTTATCCTCCAACAACTGCTGTAATCTCTCTTCTTGTTTCTTTTCTCGTTCTTCTTGTTTCTTTTGCTGTTCTTGTATTGCTGCCATCAAACCTGCTAAGCTGTAGTTTGATTTGCCACCTCTCGTTTCCATCTTCTTTTTTTTCGTCCCACTCTGACACCAATTTGTTACGTCTGTGTTCGTTTGTTAATTTTCCGTAGAAATTATTTCCCAAGAAACTTCTGCGATACAAGTCCTTTCTTAAATAAAACTAGTTTATTCTTTCTCAATTCAACTTTGCAATACACTTAATTTCCACAGTCACTTTAACTTAAACTCACGCTATAATTCACAACGATTCACGCACTTTACTTACAGTGCCCAATTGACTCGAATATCCGTGTCTATATCTTCAATCTCTCTATCTGCAACTATATTCTTCCGTCACTTTATTTGCCGGCTTATATACTATAAAAGCGTACATCTCGTCTCTTTGTGAATCTTCTAGATACTCATCACGTGTTACTAGCGTCACGTAACTTCCGCTGTCGTAACAGTATGTTTAATGGTATTAAGCTCTCTTAAGTAAGCTGTCAATCTAAAAAAAAAAGACGCATTTCTTTAAAGCGCCCCCAGTAGCTCAGCGGTAAGTCGAAAAATTTATAATGTTAAAATCCAGATTTCGGTACCAGTGGTGGACACAGCATAGATAGCACATTATGTAGCTTTGTATTTAAGAGCAAACAGACAAAGAAACCGTATAAAGTATGATACGAAGCTTTGGGCAAATATCTTCTTAGTCACTTAATGAAAGTTATTAATTAATAGGTCTTTATTCATTATATTTCTCTAATGCACTGTAATGGGTTACATCTTATGTTTGAAACGTTTTCAGAAATGTTGTTACGTACGTTCCTTGCGTCCAACTTAAACGTCAAAACTTAATTTGTAGCCTTAAAAATCTATATCCAAGTGTTAAATATTTAAATGAAGACAAACACTACTGATTGAAATTATGGCGTCATCATTCTTAATATAGACACGATATCAACTCCACGCTTCCCACAAAACACGCTATATTACAGAAAAGGAAACGGAAAATGAATTGTTCAGAAAGAAACAATTTTTTTTTTTTATGGATATCGGGCACGAGTAAATTTTGGACGACGACTTTCTGTTGTAAGCTTCACCTTATGTTATGTGGTATTCCACGTTGGTTCTGAATAACGTGCTATACTCAAGTTTTTAAAAATTGTAATCTTATATAACTGGCCTGCAGGAAATACAAACATATCTTTTTAAACACCCCTCGTACGTAAACATTCAGTTAAGATTCGAGCACTAACACCAATTTTTATTATTTTGATTTCTGCATAGAGTGCTACACTAGAGTTTAGCACCACCTGCGTTCAAGTTCATCAATTAAAACATTAGGGG